TCTGACAGCAGCCTCTGGGTCTTTCTGCAGGTCTCTGTCCAGCATCAGCTTCACTTACAACACCTGACAGTGTAACACTACCGGCTGCTCACTAAAGTATTCTCTCATATCAGATCACATACCTGTTACAGCGCCGCCTCTCTTGCTGCTTAATGACTGCCTTACTTTGTAAGACACCAGAGCTGCTGTCAGTTTATCACTTTTTGTGTCTGTGAACACAACATTTCATCCAAACTCAAAGTTTACCAGCCATCTATCCACCCACCCACCCGCCCATCCATCTGCACATCCATCTACACATTAGGGCTGTGCGATATGACCAAAATCTCATATCCCGATATAAGACATTTATTATCCCGACAACAATACATATCACAAAAACTTTACATTTTCTGTAAAGTTTGTGAATCTCGGGTTATTTACCGTAATTGTCGGGCTATAAGCTGCTACTTTTTGCACAAGCTTTGAACCCTGCGGCTTTTAGTCAGGTGCGGCTTTTCTATGGATTGTCCATGATTTTTGTCATATCGTAAGACGATTTGTTTTGTTTGTCCCGCTGTCGTACGGCACTACGTTGCCTGGTGGAAGGACATGTGATCCGACACACAGTATCGGGGTTCAAGAGTGGTATGTTGGTCACATGTCCATCCGCCAGGCAACATAGTGCCGTACAAAGTAGCGCAAAAAACAAACTTCAAAGTAGCGCTACGCGTTCAGCGGGAGGCGTGGATGATGAGCAGCGATAAACTTGCGAAAAGTACTTATTTAACTCTGTTACTTTTTCTGTCTCAGTAACTTTACCTTACTGGGTTACTTTGTCAGATTCTGTGTTGCTGAGTTTGACCTAAATATTCTGTTATAGGTTGCACATGAATTTTGCAACTTTTAGGAATAAAGTATATCATCACTGCTTTGCTAACACACCCCTCCACCCTGACCTCCACTCTGTGCTGATTTTGTGATTCTGGGGAGCTTTGCTGTCCCATGTTTCAAATGTGATGAATGATGACTGACTGAGGGACACCGCCCTATCGTGCCTCTTTGACTCTCCAGATCTTCAAAATAAGCTTCATGCTTTATTCAGTGAGACCTGAAAGCAGTGACTGAGACCATGAACTCATCAGGATGATGTTCACTGAGCTCAGAGATCAGGGGAGTGGGAGGCTCAATCGCTCAAAGACTTCTATACAATCAGACAGCCAGAGGAGTCGCCCCCTGCTGGCCATCAGAGAAATTGCCACTATAAGACAACTGTGCAGTGGATGGCTACCTACATGCATGTTTCATGTGTTCAGGTTATGGCTGCACTGGACTGATGTAGTGCAGACAGAGGAAAAGGTAGCAGGTAAAGTGGGCTTGGCCTTTATTGGAGGTGACCTCAGGTTGGCCCGAGAACTTGATGGATGGACCACATATCTACATTTGCTGTGGACTGCTGCAAGTACATCAGTTGCTCGCAAAGGACAATTTGACTTCATTCATGTTTCTACTGACATGACAGGAGCTGCCCCGTGCTGGGCATCAGGAGAAACGAAGTTTTAAGGCGCTTCAGTCTGCAGACCCACAAGCTTTGCCCATTTTTTCCGCCTCTGGTGGCGGCGCTCCGAGAATGCAAACAGAGAGTTTGTTTAGAGGAGATAACAATATTTAAATTTTATAATCAGGTTTGCAGCTGCTTGTATGAGCTGAATCATTACAGCTCTAATTCGCTGCACACGCTAAAGTATTCTCACTGCGCCTCGAGTCTGCAAACAGTTAACAAGTTCTCGAGTACACACACTCAGACACACACACACACACCGTATTCACAAAAACTCTGTCACGCTTAGCCTTTCCCTCCAATCAATTTGCGACACTCTTGTCTGAAACGTACTTTAATGTTCCAGGGCTCTTTCTTCTTGCCACTGCTGTTTAACACACTTCTATATGATCCTCTTATCCCCCCACCCCCGTCGTCTTTTATCAGCATGGAGCATTCGAGCTTCTCTCGCTGCACATCTTCACATCATGCATTCAGACTCCTGATGACAGGTGATTGGACTGCAAGCCGGCCCCTCCCCCCACGCGCCTGTCCTGCACGCGTGCAAAGGAGCGGCCACAGATTAATGTTGTGTTTGGTGACGCCGTGTTAGAGGAAATAAGGGAAACTTTACACAACACCTGCACCAGTGTCCTCTGTGTGTCTGTGTGTGTGCACCGTGTTTACATGACTTTGTGAGGACTAAAAATTGCTACTATAGTTGCAACTTATGGGGACAAAGTGCTCGTCCTCACGAGTCTGAAGACATTTTTGAGACTCAAAATGTGGTTTCAGTGTCAGGGTTACAGGTAGGTTAGGATTATGGTTAGGGTTAGACATTCATTTTTGATGTTTAGGGTAAGCAGCTAAGGAAAGGGTTATGTTATTTAGATGTCCTCACTAAGATATGAAGACAAGTGTGTGTGTGTGTGTGTGTGTGTGTGTGTGTGTGTGTGTGTGTGTGTGTGTGTGTGTGTGTGTGTGAAAGAGAGTTTGTGAAAGAGAGTGTGAGTGTGTTAGGAACAGAAAGTGCCTTTGAAGCTGTGTTGGTTGCAGCACTCCTGTGTTGACCATGTTGTTTGGACTCGTGTTAATCTGAGAGAGCAGAAGCCAATTTACAGAGCCGTGAGTCTATTTCACAGATGTTTGACCACACACACACACTAACATACACACACACACACACACACAGAAAGAAAGTGTAAATGATGCTGTATCGCTCAGGGCGTCTGACATTTAAACACTCCTCAGAAACGTGTGAGACCGAGACGGAAAGCCATGCACAGCTTTAATGGAGTCCTGCTAACATGCTGACAGAGAGTGAAAAACATATTTTTAATACATCGATTCATTTAAGTGCATCTTTTCATGAAATCCTCCATCGATGGCATCCAAAAACATCCTTTCCATGTTTTATTTTTTGGTGCTGGCTCATTGCATGAGGATAAAGAAGATAACTCTGCAGGGATCCTGTGGTGATGATAACTGAGTCATCAGCAGCCGTGATATCAACAGCGAGGAGGTTCTTTGGAACGTATGAAGGAGAAGACTGAACACACACATCCAACAGTTTCACTCAGTGACTGCAGGGCGTCTGAACCTCACAAGCAGCTTTCAGCACCTTACATGACCCTGGTAGATTTAGTGCCTGAGCCTAACCGCTTCGCTGTTCTCATTTCATCCTTCAAACATTCCTGATGAGCAACTATGCGTTACATATGCCTCAAGAAAAACCAATACTTTACCAAAATCAGTTTATTGAAACTCATTTAAAATTTTTGCCATTTGCACTTCAGCGCATCTGAGAAGCCCAGGTGGTACCAACAGTCATGTGACACATGATACAAAACTAGGATAGGTCCTAAAAACTCCCTGAAAAGCCTTTCAGTTATTCAAAATGCTGCAGCAAGAGCAGATTTCTCCTATATTGGCTTCCCTTCATTGGCTCCCTGTTAAATCCAGAATTCAAAATCCTGCTCCTCACATACAAGGTGCTGAATAATCAGGCTCCGTTTTATTTTAATGACCTTATAGTACCACATAACCCCATTAGAGCGCTTTGCTCTCACACTGCAGGCCTACTTGTTGTTCCTAGAATTTTTAAAAGTAGAATGGAACCAGCTTCCAGTTTGGATTCAGGAGACAGACACTATCTCTACTTTTAAGATTAGGCTTCAAACTTTCCTTTTTAATAAAGCATATAGTTAGGACAGGATCAGGTGACCCTGAATCCTCCCTTAGTTATGTTGCAATAGGTGTAGGCTGCTGGGGGATTCCCATGATGCATTGTTTCTTCTTCACTCAGTATGTGTTTATACATCTCTGCATTTAATCATTAGTTATTATTAATCTCTGGCTCTCTTCCACAGTGTGTCTTTGTCCTGTCTTCCTTCTCTCTCCCCAATCGGTCGCAGCAGATGGCCGCCCCTCCCTGAGCCTGGTACTGCTGAAGGTTTCTTCCTGTTAAATGGAAGTTTTTCCTTCTCAATGTCACCAAAGTGCTTGCTCATAGTCTGATTGTTGGGTTTTCTCTGTATTATTATAGTGTCTTTATCTCACAACAGAAAGCATCTAGAGGTGACTGCTGTTGTGATTTGGTGCTGTATAAATAAAGTTTAATTATGTTAATAGAGGTGAGGATAAGTGAGATTCATATACCAGGACATGTGAGTATATTTCATTATCCTGCCATGGTCTCACTCTGGATGTTTTATAGTTAGAAACAACACGTAACTCTGCCACTGATCTCACATAACACTATGATTACACACACACAGCAGCACTCTCCACAAAGAGATGTGCTAATCAGAGCTTTTTATTGGCCACTAAATGAGCCACACCACCCACACCTGTGTGCTTTAAACAAAAGACTGCATGACGTTCCAAATCTGTGAATACTTTAAACTTTCCACGGCAGACGTTTCCACATAGGTGCAGTGAAAAGCAACAGAAACGTAACAGCGGGAAAAAACTTGAAACTCTCCAAAAAATACTCATGAGCATTTTTGCAGCATTTTTTCTGCATTTAATAAACTTAATATTTCATAATTTCATTAAGAGTAATCTGCAGGTTAATCAATAATGAAAATATAATAATTAGCTGCAGCCCTGAGCACATTTCCACCTCCACACTGATCCATGTGGGATGTCAACGATATGTGACAGCCTGTAATGAAAAGGAGCAGAGGTTATCTCTCTGTCCTCTGAATAATGAGCGCAGTATGTAGAGGCACAAACGCATTTTGGACGAAAAATAGGTTTTTATGAAAGAGCTGCTTCAGCTGCACGCTCTCTCACACGTCTGTAATTACAAAGACGCATTCATTCACGCACTCACAGATGGAGCGAGTGGCCCGAGTTTAATCAGCCCCTCCTCCACCCACACCAACCTAGATGAGTGTGTGTCCGTTGCTTCAGTCTGCTCCCACAAACACACACACACACACACACACACACACACACACACACACAGTGGCGTTACCTGAGATGATGGAGGCATGTCTGAATTCCTCAGAGAAGTGGATCGGCTCGTATGGAGACGTCTCGTAAAACTCCTCCCCTGAGGAACAGAAAACAGAAACATGTTCAGTGTACACTCCCAGCCGTCTGCATCTACTCGCGCACGACCTTCAAAGGTCTCCTGTCTGTGCATGAAAACGTTTCTCAACCTCCAGAGCCAAAAACCCAAACCTGCAGTTCCTCTAACGACCAGCGCAGGCAGCAGTGAGTCCTCATGGACTCCCATGTTAACTCACCTGTTTAAATTGTATTGTGGTAACTTTGGTAAATCATCTGAACATTTGACCTGGTGTCAGTGTCAGACAAAATACTGACGATAGCCTTTAGTTTCACACAGAGAAGCAGAAGTGCTGTGGTTTAATGATACTGTAAATATATTAAAAATACGCAATAAACTTAACAGAAATGTTTGTATTAAGAAACATAAGTCCGCATGTATGATGAGTCTCTGAAGGTCTGACCTGAAGTATTTTACATTCAAACCAGAGTTTTACTGGAAGCAGTAACTATCAGAAATCACTGTGAGCAACAAAAATCACCACAGAGTGCCTTCTTACAGCTCATGGTGTTCCACAGGGCTCTGTCATTGATGTCAGTCAGAGGGGCATGGCCTCTTTGACTGACAGGTGGATGGTGACACAAGCAGCTGTAGCTGCTAGCTGTCTACTATGACTCACCTGAACTCGACCTCTGGTCTGTGTTTGTGCTTTTGAAGCCTTTTGGAGCCTTTTTAATGACATCATGTGACCAATAATATGGCTGCTGTGAAGTTACTGTACTAACTTCACAGGCAGGGATAGCTCAGTAGGTAGAGTGGTGGCCCCATGATCAGAAGGTTGGGGGTTCGATTCCCCTGAACAGCTACCCTGAGGTACCCCTGAGCAAGGTACCGTACCCTACACACTGCTCCCCGGGCGCCCAATGGCTGCCCACTGCTTCACTGAGTGAATGGGTTAAATGCAGAGAGGAATTTCCCTACGGGGATCAATAAAGTTCTCCTTCTAACAGAGCGTCCACAAAGGCAGAGCTTCAATTTAGATGTTTTTTTTATACAATTAGGGGCTGCAGACTATTAACCACACAAATATAGTCCAAAAAACCCAAAATGGCGACGGCTGAAACACTAAAACCTATGTGCAAAATTGCGTGCCTTTTTTTAAACACTGAGCCTGTTAAACATTAAAAACAAGCATGATCATTTGTCTCCTTTTTGAACATTGTGTTGTTTCGAGAATGAAAGAGAAATTTAATGTGAGAATTTGTTGTGGGAACAGTAAGAAGAAAAGCTCCTATATGACAGTTATTTTCTCTTCTCGATCTTATCCCCAGTAATTTTTTCCTTTATGGGACTTCCACGCTGAGCCGAACCCGACTGTCATCCTTTCTCATGTTTCTAATTTTATTGGAGCTTTACCGCCAAAGGTTTCTGTTTGTCAGAGAACGCCGTGTTCACACGTCTAAAATGAAGCGAGGACGACAGACAAAAGAAACAGAGCGCTACAGAGAAACCAGGCCTGCAGCACTGAGTCACACACTCAAACAGGAAAAGAGCTGGATCCGGATCATTCTGGAAACTTATCATCACTGCAGCTCATTTAAATCAGACAGAAAACAAACATGGCTGATTACAAAGCAATCTACATATCACGCTTCCGAGAACATTCAGAGCAATTCAGTAGCAGTTTCAGTCCACAGGAGCACAGAAAACAACTGTTGACAGCAGCTTTGGTGTACCTGATCTTCTGGAATATAAACAATTTAAGGCTTAAACAAGCTACTGTGACATCATTCCACTTCTTGTTTCAGCTCTACAGCCGTTCACGCAGTCATCGTGCAGTGAAGCATGTGTGGAGCGTAGAGAAGCTTACAAGAATAAAAATAAATTATGTAAAAATAAAGTTGTGTCTGATGTGACTCACACTGAAGTTTCTGAATTCAAAAATAAAGAATGAAGATGATGGACATCTTTGCTTTTTCTTCAGATGGTTTGAGCCGTCTTTTGGGAATACCCACAGAATTGGTAACCTGACAGCAGATGGACCGCTTGACAGAGGCACATCTGAACTCTTTCTTGGAAACTGACTGAAAACTACTGAGCACTGCGTCACTATGGTCAGCAGGTAATTGGATGAAACATCTGTCTCTCATAAATCAGTCACCTGGAACTGTTGAAAAGTTTTTTCTGGAGAAAACTATTTGCTGCTGTTCTCTACTCTCAGAAATCTGAAGGAACAGATGTAGTCGATACATATGCAAGGATGCTCTTCAACGACTACAGCTCGGCATTTAACACCATCATCCCCTCAAAACTTGCCACGGAGCTCGTCGACCTTGGGCTGGGAACACCGATCTGCAGATGGATTCTAAACTTCCTCACAAACAGGCCCCAGGTGGTGAGAGTTGGTAAGCACACCTCCTCATCACTCATCCTAAACACAGGTACGCCACAGGGTTGTGTGCTTAGCCCCCTCCTGTATTCCCTGTTTACACACGACTGTGTTGCTAAACACGTGTCCAACATCATCATCAATTTTGCGGATGACACAACCATCATAGACCTCATCACAGGCAATGATGAGATGGCCTATAGAGAGGAGGTGATGGCGCTGTACGAGTGGTGTCTGGAAAATAACCTGACTTTCAACATCAGCAAAACTAGAGAGATGATAGTGGACTACCGGAAAAGACCAGTCAGGGAACACCAGCCCAGCCACATCAACGGTGTCAAGGTCAAAAGGGTCAGCAGCTTCAAGTTCCTTGGAGTCAACATCACAGAGGACTTCTCCTGGACCCTTCACACAGACACTGCTATCAGGAAAGCTCGCCAGTGGCTTTACTTCCTGAGGAGGCTGAGGAAGTTTGGCATGAACGCCAACATCACCTCAAATTTTTACAGGTGTGCAATTGGGAGCTTGCTGACGAGCTGCATCACAGTTTGGTACGGAAGCTGCTCTGCCAGCAGCCGTAAATCACTACAGAGGGTGGTGAAGGCAGCAGAGCACATCACTGGCACAAGGCTTCCTGCCATTCAGGACATTTATCTCCAGCGATGCCTCCGTAAAGCACACAGCAGAGAGACTTTTCGTTTGTGTCACGCTCAGCAGAACTTCCACACGTTTCCTGTGAGTCTTTGTTTCTGCTCGGGTTCTACACAATTCAAATGTCTGTTTTCTTCACTTCAACAAACTGTCAGGGTTCCTGGGTCGTTGACCCAGTATTTTCAGTTCATGTTCGCTGTTTATCTTCTGTATGTTCCACTTCCTGTTTTATTGTGTTAGCCTTAGTCTGTGTGCATTATGTTCAGTCCTCTTCCCATTTATCATTAGTTCATTATGTTCAGCTGTTCACTCATCTGTCTCTAATCACTCATCATTCAGCCTGTGTACTTAAGTCCCCCAGTGTCATGGTCCTGCGACCATGACTCAGTGACTTTATGTTTATGTACTTATTGTTATTACTTTCATTATTATTCATGGCTGTTTTGGGATGGTTTGTGTTTGGGATTTTAGACACTGGGTTCTGGGTTTGTGCTCCCTCTGTTGGTCCCTGGTGTTAGTGTTCCCCTGTCTCGTCAGGTTAATCAGGTCCAGCTGTTTCCCCCACCTGTGTGTGATTTCCCAGTGTCTCTTTGTGTATTTATAGTGTGTGATTTCCTCTGCTCCTCGTCGCGTCGTCTGTGTACATACCCTGTGTTCATCCTCTGTGTTATCCTGCGTACTCTGCATCTACCCTGTGAAATCCTCTGCGTGCTCTCCCTGCTGTTCTCCCTTCGTGTTCAGGTTTGCCACTCCTTTGTGTAGTTTCACTCAGTTTAGTTCATCCGTAGTTCTGTTTTGCCATCTCCTCTTTATGTTTGTTATCATCAATAAATCACCCTCACACCTGAATAAGTGCTGCACTTTGAGTCCTCCTTCCACTCTCCACACGGCCGCTGCCCCGGACCGTGACAGTACGACGCGACCACAAGATGGACCCAGCAGCGCTTAATCCATCCAGGGAGCTACGGGAGACGCTCATCGACGCCACACAGGAGCTGATCGACCTGTGGCTGGAAAGCCCGGGTGGCACGTCCCAGCGCGCTGATAGAGAGGCGGCTACAGCGTCTGGTGACCGGTCTCCCATGGCTTCTGGACTCGCTCTGTTCGTGGGAGCGGGAGTTTCTCCTTTTGGACCTCGGACTTCACCCCCCGTCTGCTTTTACTTTCGAGCAGCCCGAGGCGGTGAGCGAGCGACATGTTCTGGCTTCCCCAGATTCCGAGACTCTGTTTTCTGGGGCTATTCAGAGCGGGATGGGAGACTGTTCGGATCGCTTACCTACCTTCGTGGTAACTGATCCTTCGCAAGTGGGCGTGTACAGACCCTCTGTGAAACCGAGAGACTGTTTCTCTGCCGCTCCTTCTGAGCCAGGACTTTATCACCATTCTCCGGCTCAGTTCTGTGTCCAGCCACAAGCTTCCCAGTCTGTAGCTCAACCATTAGCCTCCCTTAAGCCACAATTTTCACACTGTTTTTCCACCGCTGTTTCTGAGCAGGGAGACAAACTGTTTCATTACGGACCTGTTCCTCAACAGCTGGCAACATTAGTGACTGTTACTCACTCCGGGGCTTCCCCAGAGGCGGGGTTGCTGCCCTCAGCTTACTCTGGACCCCTGGTGGCCAAGATGCCAGCTGTGAACTGCACCGGGCTGTCACTGCCTGAGCAGGGTCAGTGCTCTGCGCAGCTGCAGCCCTCCGTATGTGTGCCAGAGGCCCACGTGCCTACTGGTTTTGTTTCATGTGTGCCAGAGGCCCACGTGCCTACTGGTTTTGTTTCATGTGTGCCAGAGGCCCACGTGCCTACTGGTTTTGTTTCAAATGTGCCAGAGGCCCACGTGCCTACTGGTTCTTTTTCATGCGTGCCGGAGGCCCGCGTGCCTCCTAGTTTTGTTTCATGTGTGCCAGAGGCCCACGTGCCTCCTGGTTTTGTTTCAATGTGCCAGAGGCCCACGTGCCTACTGGTTTTGTTTCATAGTGCCAGAGGCCCGCGTGCCTCCTGGTTTT